CTGGACAGCATCATTGATGAACACGACGGATCTGATCCAGATGTGAAGGTGTGGATCAGCAAAGGAAGAGCAACATATTCACAACTGAAGAACATCTGGAACTCAAAACAACTCTCTGTCAACCAACACCAAGATCAGAATTTTCAATACAAATATCAAGACAATTCCACTATATGGGGGCGGAAAATTGGAGAACTACAAAAGCCATCATCCAGAAGATACAAGTGTTTGCTAACATTGTCTACGCAAAATACTTCGGATCCGTCGGCCAGACACTATCAGCAACAACCTACTGTGGGAGATAACAAACCAGATTTTAGCGGAGAAAGAAATCAGGAAGAGGCGCTGGAAGTGGATAGGACACATATTGAGGAAAGCATCCAACTGCGTTACAAGGCAACCCTCACTCGGAATCCTGGAGGTCAAAGGAAAAGAGGAAGACCAAAAAACACATTGCACCGAGAAATGGAGACAGACATGAAAAGAATGAACAGCAACTGGACAGAACTAGAAAGGCCCAGGACAGATGGGTTGGAGAATGCTGGTCGGTGACCTATGATCCATTGCGAGTAACAGGAGTAAGTAAGTAATATCCACCTTCTCACTTTATCGATTTTCTATGTCGCTATAATGATGTGATGTGTTAGTCTGAATGGTTCCAAATTCAGGGCACGTTCGACGTTGTCAACAACAGAATGACTAACTCTACATTATAAGCGACACCTGTAAATGCACAGAATTAAAAACTCACTAATTATAGGTTAATCATCTATACTTAGGACCGAATAAAAATTTAAAGTGATGGAAGCATTAAGTATGTGAATAAATGCGCATACGCATATATACTCATACCTCAACAACTTGTTTAGAAGCTCTGACGCATTGAACATAACCTGTGTATCAATATTTGGACAACATATATAAGCTACAGTTAGATGAATTAAAGCAATGCGCTGTGTTTTGGATAAACGCATTCCAAATATATTGATAAATCTAGATGGAGAGAGATAGAAAAGGGGCATTTCATTAATTATGATTAAACATTAGGATGATTGCACAATCTAAACAACAATAATGTATATTGATAGGTAATATAACGGAAAAAGACGGAACCCTTATCTGCTCTCAGCCCCGACGTTTAGAACGATGTGCAGAACACTTTAAGGAGCAGTTCAGCTGGCCTTCAGCTACTGCACAACCACCCACTATTCCCAGGAAACTTGAATGGAACATTGAAGTATGACCCCGACCCTACCTGAAGTTCAAAAGGCTATAACTAATCTGAAACGAGGAAGAGAAGTTGGTCCTGATGGATTGGCTACAGAGGTCTTTAAATATGGTGGTCCAGTTTTAGCGACTAGGTTGACTAATATTCTGGCTAAAATCTGGGAGTGGGATGTAATCCCATCCGACTGGTCACAATCACTTATTGTCCCAATATATAAGAAGGGGTACAAATCATCCTGTGATAACCATAGAGGTATTAGTTTGACTAACATAGCATCTAAAATACTAGCCTCAATAATTATCAGGCGCCTAACTAAGACTCGTGAACTGCAAACACGAGAAAACCAGGATCGCTTCAGACCTGGTCGTGGCTGCATCGACCACATATTCACCACTAGTCAAGTTTTAGAGCACAGACATGCTTATCGGCGTCCGAAAATGATAGTTTTTCTTGACTTGAAAACACCATTTAACTTTGTAGACCGAGAGGTTCTGTGGCAGTCTCTGTCATTGAAAAGTGTACCTCAAAAGTACATAAACCTTGTGAAAGCTCTTTACTCGAACACTACCAGTCGAGTGAGAGCTTATGGCGAACTGTCATACGATTTTACAACCTCAAGTGATGTCCGTCAAGGCTGTCCACTATCCCCATTTTTGTTTAACTTCATTATAGACCTATTGCTCGTCGACTGAATTTTCAGGAATTCATCTCCTACCAGGGGGTCCAATAAGCGACTTAGAATACGCCTAGTCCTGTTTGGTGAAGACGCTGACAAAATACAGTCTTCTGTTAGAACTGAGTAATACTACCAGGATGTTCGGGATGCGTTGCTCCCCCTCTAAATGTAAATTGTTACTCCAGGACTGGCCTGCGTCAACACCTGAACTAACAATAGGGAGTGAAGTAGTCGAACGTGTCGACAACTTCACTTATCTTGGAAGTCTGATCAGCCCTAATAGGTTGGTGTCTGACGAAATATCAGCACGGATTCAAAAAGCTCGTTGGGCTTTTGACAACTTACGTCACCTATGGCGAAGACGAGATATCCGTCGATCAATTAAGGCACGAGTATACTGAGCAGCAGTTCGCTCTGTTCTACTTTACGGCTGTGAAACTTGGCCATTAAGAGTAGAAGATACTCGTAAGTTACTAGTATTTGACCACAGATGCCTTAGAAATATTGCTCAAATCTGCTGGGATCACCGGATAAGTAATAGTGAGGTTAGACATAGGGTATTAGGAAATGATGGTAAATCAGTTGATGAGGTCATGAATCTTCATCGACTGAGATGGTTGGGCCACGTGTTACGTATGCCTGAACACCGATTACCACGACGCGCTATGCTGACTAGCATTGGGGATGGTTGGAAAAGAGTTAGGTTAAACCAAACCAAAACGTGGCATCAGAGCATGAAGTCACTAACTTCTAGTCTGAGCCATGTTGGTAGATGCAGACTGCTTGGTTGAGGTCCGCGTGACTATCGTAACCAATGGTTGGAGACTCTGGGTGAAATAGCTCAGAATCGATCACAATGGCATCGGCGTATACACTCTTTGTGTTCCCTTAAAGCTTGAGATCAAATTGCTTCATAACTTTCTTCCTTACTATACTATATCCTTATATACAACCTTTCTTTTATATATTACCACCACTAAATTAACTACTATGAATCCGGTGTTCATCTTGTTGTGCTAACAAGGTATGGCAACTTGAACCGATGTATATGTGTGCCTGGTCCCACGTTGTAGCTGACTGACTGACTGAATACAACGGATGTGGCATCGAAGTTTGATCGCTTTTTTCCAGCGTCCTCTTAATAATTATTGTTTACCTGGTAAAGTATACTACGTTAGCTCAATATCTCGTATAAAGATAACAGATTACATTCTCTAGTGATAAATTCAGTCAGTTAGTGATTCTGTTTTAGAAGATCTATTAGATTTGAATTGGTTATCGGGAAATTTATCAGTGTGGTCATATCAATCAATCTGTGAATTCGATTCTGCAAAGTATCTCTGTACTAATGTATGTGTCCTTCAGATTGACATAGAAAAGTTTGAATCTATGAACTACCTTATTGTAGCTTACTTACCAAGTACAGGTTTATTTGCTCAGTTTTAAGTGATGCCTTAAATACATGGGTTGTAGAGACACTACTTGGGTGCCCAAACTGAAGCATATGGAAAGACGTTCGAGCCCGAAACTTACGGGCTGGAAGCCGGATGATTTAACTACTAAGCTACCACCCCGTTGTCTAGATTATTGCTCTGAAAAAATTAATTTGAGATGGCTATCACATAACAGGACTTTGTATCGCTTTTCAGTAAGTCCATCTTAACTATCTCACTCAGGGGAGATCTATTTAACAATTAAATATTTCATATGCAAGCGAATGAAAGTTGGTTATTACGAAACAAAATACATATGTTTCCTCGAAACGTTTCCAAATATAAATTGTGGATTACGAACCAGATCAATAAAATGATTATCAAAAGTATTAGTATCGACATGACTAACCTTTGGATAGTAGTAAATACTGGATTAATTTCACACATGATATCACCAGACGATAAAACATCACATAACCATTGTGTAATTATGTTCCATTCATCTTGTATAACTTTATTTAAATTATGCGGATGAATAGGAAATAAACAATCACTGCGACTGTACATGGACCCCGATTGAATTAATTTCATCTTAAAAGAATATTCTTCGAATGCAAACAAGTTTTAGAGCGTCTCTTCCTTCAAAACATATGATTTGTCCTAAATTGAGAAAAAAGGCAGAGATAAACTGCAAACTTTGTCAAATAATTTTGCCTCTTTGAGGAAAGAGCTTATAAAATGAGTCATACGACCGTAAACACTTATTTCTTCAGTGTATTCGCTACTTTTATAGGAAAATAATGATAGAAACTAACAAACTATAGGAACCGAACCACCAACCCCAAAAGTTACAACTAAAATTATACCACTATGGTCATAAAACTTGATAAAATAGACATGAAATCCTAATGCCTTTATTAGCCTACAAGTATCAGTTGGATAAGATGGGAAGGATAAACGAGATAGTATTCTCTCTTAAACTGTTCGTGCCTCAGAAGCATTGAGAAAGACGCTGATTTCTTCTGTACATTGGCTTTTGTTCTGCAGTGAACTACGAAGCCTGATACAAAAGTAAAAGCATAAATTCAGTACGTAACTTAAGTATACATCTAAGATAAACCTCTGACTAATATTTATAAAATGTAAAAGTGAACGTCAATTGTAGCCACACGCGGACTTAATGCTTCATTCAACACTAACAATATTCCCCAATGGAATGTACATTCCAAATTGCAGTCCATGATTCAGATTCGATAGAGGTACTAGAATGAACTGAAAAAATACCCAAAAATATACTGTTACAAATTTTCCCCAACTAACGAGAACTTTAAAATTAAATTTGATACCGTGTAGCATTTTATTGTATGATTATTTTAAAATTTTACTTCCTTTAAACTATCTACGACATATGATTGAAGTATAATTTAGTTAACAAAAAATAATGCAATACATAGACAGGTATGTAAAAAACAAGATAACAGATACAAAGTAAGCGTTTATTTATTCATCAGTAACTAAACGAACAACAATATAAACACATCGTGAAATAATAAGCAAGCTAAGAAATACAAAGAAATAATAAAGACAAATATATGTCGAAAAGTAAAGGAAATAAACAGTAGATGGAGGAAAAGGCTTTTTATTTAACAGAGGAACGCAACTATTACTGCTTTTTATCTTCATGAAATGAACTTGTTTTTATTGATGTCAAATGGCTATCAACAACAGATACAGAGATCAACAATTGACCAGCATAATACGTAGGTAAGATTAAATTACATTTAAATGACGATATATCACTAGAAAATAAACAAATTCCCAATATGGTATCAGATACACCAAATAGTAATCCACCAATGGCAGAAGCTATACATGTCCATGGTATAGAATATTCATGTTTAGTTAATTGAGCTAATGAACGCCATACCATAATTATTAATATTAATCCATAAGCTGGAATAACAAGTGTATTGATACCGTTTAGTCCTTCTCTTACAGAAACACAAACGCAGAGAAGTATTGGCAGTAAAATGAACAATATAGCTAGTTTTAAACGTTGAAAACCAAATGCGCAAATGTATGATATGTGTGTAATGGCAAACATAGCCATGCCAGGAATAAGAAGACTAGGCCATACCAAAAATGCATCGCCTAGACAAGAGAATAAAAGACCAAGGAAAATTTTTAAAGAATAAGCATGATTGTTTGGTATCTTAACCCCATACATATAAACAAACCCAATAAGTGATAAAATAGGTGCGCATTTAAAAACACAATAACCCAAAGTTGACTCATATTTTGGATAAAGAACATAGAACAAAGCAAATGTTTTAAAGAATAAAACTAAACGTGGTCCCAAACATTTGACCTGAAAAACAAAAAGAATTTAGTGAAAGTAATGCTAAAATTTTGATAAATCAATAAAAAAAATCACAGGAAGATCTAACATTATTTGAATCATTTGTATTGGTTGTTTGAATTTTTCAATCGAAGTTGAGGACTGCAATAGATCATTCCGGTATTGACATATGTGAATAGTGTGGATTGCCTCGAAATTATCTTGAGTCTCAAGCATTCTAAACAGAGATGAATGGTGGCTAGCAGTGTAATCCAGAACTCGAGTTCCGTCCTATTTAGGTTTCATCGGCCGGATGCACCTGGATCCCATAGTTGAAGCCCATGCTGGAATTCAAGTACATCTAGACGACGAGTCTGAAACGGGACGAAACGCGATTCCTGGATTACACTGATGACCTTTACTGATCTCTGTTTATAGTGATTTGAATCAGTTGATAATCTTAAATAATTTGTCGATCTTTAACAACACAATACCTGTAAGACTGTATAATTATTTTAGATTAAAATTTGCATAAGGTCACAATAAACAAGCAGCCATTTATCAAACTTGTTAGGTTAATACGAAGAAACATCATACATTCTCCTACATATATAACTATGGCGGTACATGGATAAGTAACATCAAACGTTCAATGTAAATATGTACCGAACAAGAAGATAAGGGTAGGCGTTGCATATGTTGAAAAGTCATGTGACATGATATTGTTTACAGTAAAACTAAAATGAATGAGTGCAAACAAAAGCAGTCGATGGATTCGTACAATTCAACTTATGCAGGAGACTGAAGTACTCAGTTTTAAATCAAAACGTTTTAGGCCATAATGACACTCCATCTACACCGATTTTAGATAGCTAGATTTTAATACTAGTGAGATATCTGTATATTGTGCAGCAATTCGCTTTATATTACTCTATGACTGTGAAACTGTCTATGAAAATATAAGACATTTATATGCTGCATGTTATTATCAAAGTATTGCTCGCATCTCGTAGAACGACTAAGTTAATGATCCTGCAATCAGAAGCAGAGTACTAAGTAGACTGATCGGTCGATTTACGAGGTACGAAAACTGCATAAGTTGGACCACGGCCTAAATCGATAGGCAGCAGTCAGCTGGAAAAAAGAAAGTGATGGTTGAACCAAAGGCAGTTATTCAATTTCAAGTTTAAACAAAACGTGGTATCGGTCCATTTAGTCACTGACTGTTGAGATAAGTCATGATGATAGATTTACAGCACTCGTGGCATTCCCAACAGATTTTAGTTTAGGGTAGGTTGGTTATTTCTCCAATTACTGACCAACACGGGTACTTCATTTTATTTGCAAGTTCAACTTGTGCTGTTGTGCTCTCGATTTCCTGGATAATGGGTTGCTGATCGAGGTAGATCGATACTAAGGTTCATTTTGTTTAGTTGTCTAGACTATGACGCAACGATCTATTCTAGCTTTCACAACACATTATTTGACAGTGTAGGCTATTACTAATGAAGTATCAGATCTGAAGGGTTTTGATCAGATTCCCTCGATTCCTGGAGTTAATAAACGTTATGTGGGGAGGCCTAATTATTTTGTGGTTTGATGAACGGAAGAAACCAAGACACACCAATCACCATAGTCGCATGCACGCCTAATAATCGCGATAACGACAGTCAATGTCGTATTTTGTAAATCTGGTTGTCCGAACTTCTACATATTGAATTGTTGACCCTAAAAATCACTATTCTGGATAGTTATTAGCGCATATATATCTGGTGCCCCTTTGTACCAATATTTGTGTTTAAATTAATAAAAATATCGGCTATTCGTCGGTGGTTTTCTTAGGACACGCCTAACCCTACATGGTTTGTCATAGCTGAGTTAGATGTTTGAAGACCGTTAAATCGCTGCCCAATGAGAAATAGAGTCACTTTTTGCAAATTAATGATGTAAGTGGTCATTCCTTGCGGAAGAACTTAATCCTCGTTGTTATTTGACAAGTGGGCAGGCGCAGCCACAAGCAAGGCAACTACAGTTACTGTTTTCAGAATGATTATATAATGCTTGTATGTTTCCAAATAATGACTGCTGATAGAGTAGGCAGACAGTATTTTGCTTGATTCGTCCACAAATGTAGTCATATCGAAAATAACGTGTTTGCCCACTGAGGACAAGTGCTACGTAAGTGATAATTTATCAATAACGAAGGCCATAACCTATTCCTAGAGGTATCTAAGCTAGCTCTTTTATGAATCTTTTCGACTTATATGGTCTACATATACATGTTTTTATTATATAAAACCGACCGAAAGAATATCCGGTAATGGGTGGGTATGCTGGACAAATTCACTGAGATGAAGTAAATCTACGTAGCCGCATTAGAACAATAAACCCTTGACTACATTATGAGTCAAAAAACGACTATTGATAGTCAATGCCTTACATCGTTTTAGAGCTAAATCCATTTTAAAGTGATGCACAGATTGAGTCTAAATTTATGTATCCTTTGATAAGAAATCATATGAAAATATACAGAGTATACTTACAACAGCTATTCTACTGATTGGTTCGAGCGTCAACATTAAAGTGCGCACTAAATGCAAAGCTAGTTTCAAGGCAATTCACCCCGCCAACTGTATACCTCAATCTTTTCGAAGCGGTCAAAGTAGATTGATGACAGTCTGTAACAGTACGTATGTCACGGCCAGCTTTCTTTTGATAGCTCTCACTGTCACATCTTTGCAACAATTCGGGGTTCATCAATGGTGAACTCTTATGCTGATCAATAGCAAGCAAGTGCCGTCAGATCCTAACAACAAATTCGAAATTGTAGTTGTAAATAATTCCCCAAAATCAATAGCTCATTAAGTGTTCGACATTGGATACCGACCACATTGTTTTAAGTGGACTTGTTTAACTGAAGGGTTTCGATCATGCATCCGTACCAGATCACGTTACGAACCAGCGTGGGACACAGCTCCTACGATCATTAGCCAGATTAGAGCAAACGCTTCTCGATATACTGATAACGTATCAAATATATCTTTCCTACCTCTTCGCATCTGACTTCTAGTTTCGATTGGTTAAGGAACGCTTCGTACATAGGTCTTACTGGTAGCTAGTTGTAAAATTAGAATACTAGTCGTATGTTCAAAATATTCAACCACTCTGAAAATGCTAACTGTAGTTGTATTTGCTGGAAGATCAACCACAATCGAAATCTCTCTTAATCCTGTCAAAATAAGGCTGAACCTCCGTGTAATAAGGTTTATTTTCTCGGACAACTGACAACTCTCTGTTTGACGCAAATGTAACGTTTAAATACTCAGTCACTTGAAGACAGTGGATCTATGGGATCAATTGCTGCAACCACATGAACCGGTCTGGTAAGACGCACGGTCTTAGTTACCTCTTAGTACCTGCAGTGTGATGATAAGTGCTACTAGTCGAGACCCTACTGCAAGAGTTGATAACAAGTCAAAAATCCATGAATAATCCTCTATGAACTATTTTAAATCCCCAAAAGTGTGAAGATATCCCATGGTTATATGTATAGTATTGATCGCACCATTCAAACGCTAGACGCGAATACCTTTTTAGGCAGAGAGGATCCCACTCATACAGAAATTTTAACTCCAGTAACATGTGTAAGCAGGAAAAGAATAGTAAGGGAGAGAGCCTCATAACCAAATGCTTCGAAACACCATCCATCTAAGGAGTAAGACACAAAGATGACGATTGCATCGTGGGCTTTCTACTAGATGGAACGAGCGCCTCCGAATCGAAAGGCGGTTACTGTGGTGACTGGGTTCACTGACGGTGTGACACCATAATATCTGAGCGGTACAATGGACTCATATTGTGTCGCAATGCCCACTATCCAGGTGCGTATTCCCGTATTATGAGAAAAATCTGACGATTAAATTCACCAAACATGATGACCCACTTTACCTGAAGGCTCCCGTACTCATTCCCACCAATAACAGTCGGAAATTCGACCAATGAAATCGCAGCTACAGCGGAACACAATGCTCACAGATTGGTGCATTCACTTACGAATTCACGGACCATAGATATGAGTTGCGGACACTAAAACGGATCACTATGGTGTTGTTGCGAGAAATAATAGTAAAAACATAGCAGCTACAAAAAGCCTAGTAAAGTAGACGGAAATTACCTAAAACTTCCTGGTCCTATTAAATGTCACAGTGTCGGTGGTAGTATACCGAAAGGCAGAGGGAGGCTAAATGGGAGATAATGGAACGAATATCCCAACCTGTTTAGTGTGATTATTATCCTGGCTAAACTAAGTGCCTACATAAGTGTCCGATTACAACGAGAAGTAATTCCTTTCGCTAGGAATGACAATTTGCTTCAATAATTTGCTAAACGAGACTCTCTTTGTGTCTCAAACAGTAGCGATTAAACGGTCCTCAAACACCGGAGTTAGACATCATTAAAAATAGTATTCGTATAACACCGTAATAAGACGACGAATTAAATTTTATAAATTTTCGGACGTTTTGTGGCTCGCTGTAAGCCACTTCTTCAGCGAATAAATCATTGAATTAAACCAACCCAAGTCTAAGCAGTACAAAAGGAGCGAAGCGAGAATATTTGGTGCGATCAGTTAAAAAACAGGTCTGACCAAGTCAATGCCATTTCATTCAGGTCAGGGCACGTCTATGTATTTGAGTTTGTGTAGGTTAAATGATAAATTAATGAGACAGTTTTATGCGAGAAGGCACAGTTGGGACATTACAAATATATTACTTCTGCTGTTCTAAATCTGGGTAATGCTCAAGTTATTTGAATTTGTCGAGTCAAGCTCTGGGAAGTACACCTCAGAGGAATGTTGACAGTTAGATGTGTCACAAGAAAACTGTCGACAACCGGTCGGTCACTGCACAGAATAGCAATTTTATGATCAACGACTTAATATGTGAGAGTTAGGATAGACAAATTTACCCAACACACGACAAAAAAATGAACGCACTTAAAACGTGATGAGATTATATGACACAAACGTTGAATATGTTGCTCATCTTTTACAATTGGTTTGGTATGAGTTTCCCCCCAAACTGATGGGAGAAAATAACCTGTTTCATGTCCCACTGCTACTTTATCAGGTGACGTGTGAACTCTCCTCAAAATATTCACGAAAGATCAGCATTTGAAAACGTGGAGATGTATCGAAAGGGCAACCGGTCTCCTACAAATGTTTACCTTCCAAATACTGCACGCTATTATCGGCAAACATCAACGTACAACTTCATCAAAGAATGAAAACTGAATAAATTACACCAAGAGTAATGCGGAGTTTATGCCTTTTACATCCGACTATTCTGTTAATGACTCTAATCTCAGAAGACTATTCAAATGGTGAAGACGTAATTTGTTGTCTTCACGATGTCAATCTTACAAAACAAAGTCTGGCAATTGTCACTGGATGTAGTTTGGGAGTCAGCATTTTAAATGTTTCTACCCATTTGAAACTCCCTTAACTATTTACCTATTTCCTAACCTGCATGGTCGAACTAGTAAGGTGTTTCTTTTCCTGGTGAGTGAATTCCGACGACTCGGAAACAATTTGGTGTGAAGAATCATGCCATAATATACACACACGCTCATATACAATAGCTCGTTCCCTCATACACTACCATACGCGTTAAAGCACCACATCATTTTAATTCACATTGTGCTCTGCCATACTCTGATGTCACCCCATCAAAGGCAGAATTCGCTTATCTCTTTACCAAAGCTAGTCGCCACAATCTCTTCATGTGTACAATACTCCCTAGCTGTTTTTAATGATATCATTGTTAACACAAGCAACTAAGACATTAACAACTATATGCAACAGCTCGTAGTATTTGGGAATTCCCGTAAATTAATACGTAGTTCAAAGGGGAACTTCATACCATTGAGTATGACAACCATCCGTATTCTTTTAGTTTGTAGCCTTGACTCAATATATTCAAGTCGTGCTAAGAAGATTCTTCCTGTCTGCTGTGATATGTTTCCCATTCCTGATGCATTATCAGAACACAGGAAATATGACGATAAATTTACTCCCACTCAGATACCGATGCAGCTGTGTTTATTGACGACATCCTCAGGAATGTAGTGTATTGGGAAAGTGATCTTAGCCATTCTTATTACTTCACACAGAGCTCCAGATGAAATCGGATTTCGTAAACGATAACCACAAATTCCAATATCCGTATTACTGCTTATAAATTTATTTCGTATTCATATTCCGTAAATGAGCTATTCCTTTCATTCACTCAGTAAATTGGGTATCAATAACTGTTAGAAACTGGCAAACAATTTCATTCAAAGACATGGAGCTCGGTAATCTAATCATAATAAATCTTCTTACTGATAGCTTGAATCAGTTTCCTAAGCTCTTCTAATAATCACAGGCTAACTCTACACGACAACTTAAACTCGAGAGAAACAGTGCGAAATATGGAAAAGGCGTTCTATTCCAAGGTTAGTTTATGTGCTGAAAATTGAGGGTGTTTATAGTAAATCAAACGGTCTTGTATTTCTGGAAAGTTCTGGAACCCTGCTAAATATGATAGCAGGATAGGATTTGTTTATAGGCCTTAACCGAGTCGATTTTCGAAAAGACAGTTTTACTTTTCAAGGTAGCTGTCAAATCGTGAATGTGACAACGGATGCCGATCAGTAATGGTTTTTGCATTCAAACTCCAATGGTCACCAGTCGGAAACAATCATTTCTATTTTTTTTAGGGAACATGTGCAAGGGAGATGATCATGGGCTACTTGACGCTCGGATGATTCCTAAGTCTATCATGTGGTTGAATTCGAAACGTCACTACTAAGCATACTAGGTGTTACGTGCCCTTTGATTTCGCGCGGTAGTGCCTTTACAACTGTGAGGAACTATGTGCGTAAGTCCGTAATGCCGTTCCCGCAAAGTCGGTTTCTGAGTAGCAGAACCAGGCTTCGATGTTGTCTGGCTAGAAGGGCATTAGCTGAAATGAGGGTGATGTAAGAGTCTTGACCTAAAGTAGCTTAGAATTCTGATCCGTAATGGCAAATTTAAAGTATAAGAATGAACGAAGGGAAAAATATCCCAAAATACCAAGAATATATCACAATATATAAAAAATGAAGCAAGGTAATGATTTATAAAGTTTCAGATAGGAACGGACTCAGTTTATTTCTCTGTGTACCATATCACGTCGGGCTCACTAATGAAGATACCACAGGTATCGTAGTTTGACAACACTTTACCAGTAACACCTATAATTGAATCTCGCACACCCAGTGAAATCAAAAGTCAGAAGCGCGGAGGTTGGAATGTATATTTGACAGATTATCTCTATGTCGAGGAGTGACTGATCTAATCTGGCTAGTGATTGCAGGAGACGTCGCTCACGCCGTTCCAAAACGTGATCTTGTTCGGATGCATGACTCAGCGCCTTCAGCTAAATGAGTCCATTAAAACTAATGTGTTCAACATCCAACGTCGAACGCTTACAGGGGATTTATTTACAGCTACAATACAAAGGAATTACGGATGGCATGTCTTGAATCCATTTAGTTATAGGACATCTTGACTTGCAGTAATTGATTTGGAAATTTGTTTGTCAGTAAAGCTCAGTTCTCTAGTGTGGCATAAGAATTGTGGGGAGTAGTGTAACGTCGTGTACTATATTACACCTACACAGCTTATTCTAGTTTCTGGACAAGCCAATTCACCTATAACGTTATGAGTCATATTTTGATCTTGCTAATTATTCCCTTATTGACCTTGACTATTTTTTTATATGAGCGTATGTGTATGCACCCTTCTTATCCTACCTATCACATGTCTGTCATTCATTTTAGTCTGACTATAAATGTTGATTAATGCTTGCTCATAACGAGTTGGCTTACCAGCCATCTCCCATGTATGTTATTTTTTCTTCGCTCGCTAACATTTACTCATGTGCTTACTGCCTTCTAGCCTATGTTATTTGTCAACAAAAATGTAGTTGCCACTTCCCTTTGTCTTCTGATATTATACACCTTTCAGATTGATATAATAACGGTTATCGAGACGATCGATTAACGAAGCACTACACTACAGAATCTTCACAGAGTACAGAATAAAAATATGTCTCTCCCGCCTAACACAAAGCAACTTCTTCTATGACCTTTAGGACAGAGAAGATTGTCCTAATCTTCCGAACCGCAATTTAAGGATAGGTTACGTAATCCAATCATGATCAAAATAAGTCGGTTCATACTTCTATCGTTTATAATTTACAAATTTAAAAAAGGCCTTTCTCAAATAGCTATATCAGATTTATGCTGTTGGTTTCCTTCTAATAAGACGTAAATGACCATTCAAAAGGCAGATCATCGTATTGATCACAAACCACGTCAGTCATTATTATATTTATGATGAAATAGTATGTCACCAATTTCAGATTTTATCATCTCATTATATTTCGATGTATATAATTAGAGAAGTAAATAAAAGACTACAACAACCAATCTATTCAAGACAAGCCATCTTACATATGAATTGAAATTACATAAATTGTAACTTTAAGATGCCCAAGTGCTCATGATAAACTACAAAAAGCTTGTGAATTAGGATAAAAACAAGTGTTCATTCGCAGAGTTTTTAGGTACCTTGAAATAAATCGTCAATTTTGAAATCTTTAAAGGGAAAGTAATTGCCGTCAAATTTCCCATTTTTAACATATTAGGGACGAAATAATACTACACTAAAGAGAAGTAATCGTACGACAGTCTACATCCAGGAGATGACGGGAAACCACTTCATTCTAGTGCGGGAAATCTCGAAAATCAGTAGTGAAGGAAAGCACTAACTGACTTACTAAGTTAGATAGTCAAATGATACCGCAGACTAACAATTTTTAAACACAGAACTTAGGCTACCTACTAGGTGAATAGATCATCCAGTACTTGTTGTCAGAAGTTTTTATGGTGAAGCTGTAAACAAATACCCAAAATCAATAGCTCATTAACTGTTCGACATTGGATGCTGAACACATTGCTTAACGTGGACTTGTTTAACTGAAGGCTTTCGGGCATGCATCTGTGAGGGAGTAGCACGCTCCTGTATAAGCTGCCAGAAATCTAAGTTAATCAGACACTACAAATTTCCCTTAGGCTCTTTCAAAACCCCTGATGCTCGTTTCAACCATGTTCATCTGGATTTGGTGAGACCCTTACCAGATTTAAATGGCGACTCATATCTCTTAACCTGAGTAGACCGTTGCACTCGATGGCCTGAAGCAGTACCTATTAAAAACATTACCCTTGAAACGGTGGCCCGCGCCTTCGTCGAACGATGGGTAGCAAATTTTGGCTGACCTTCAACGATCGCTACAGACCGCGGACGCAAGTTGGAATCTGGACATTTCCGTTGTCTGACCACATTATTAGGAATCACGCGCTTCCGAACGACCGCCTACAACCCACAAGCTAACGGGTTGGTAGAACTTTTCCACTAACAACTAAAAGATTCGCTATAAGCGAAAAACGTTCCACAGTGGACAGACGCTCTTCTACTCGTCTTACTAGGTATCCGCAATGCAGTGAACGCTGACATTGGATACACTGCAGCTCAACTCGTTTATGGACCAACACTCCAACTCCAACCTAGAGATAAGAGTCTTACCTATTATACCAACAGTTTTCAATGCGTCTACCAATTCTCGATGTAGTGATCCTAGTGAATTAACCCACCGTTGTGCTGTTGAGTTTGACATATCCAGAACCAGTTATTAGGAAGTCTGTAGTTTGTAAACCTTCGAGACAAAGACCGTGTTCCGTAACGCTCAAGTCCATAGTAGGTATATTCAAAAATGTTTTCGTTGTAATATGTTGATTAGTTGATGTTCGTTCTCTCCACTTAAGTCTTAACATGATCCAAGTTATTTAAACTTGGTTTCATCATTCACTAGAAAATTTATCTTACTGAACAATATTTAGATTATCCACAAAACTTAGGACCTAGTAACAAACTGCTGGGATCTAGCGCGTAATCAGTCACACACACCTAATCCACATGGGTTTCTTATTATAATTACCCTGACAGCACTTGTTTTGTATTACATCCATACAGTGTTATCACTACTATTATTATATGCATTAACCAGACTAACTTCCTTCTACGATGAATTTAAATGGCCTGACTTACTTTATTATTAATACTGACTGTGAATTGACGTCTTATTACGAAACTCTGCCCTTTTGTAAATGACCTGCCTAGTTTACAAATGACAAATTTATATAGTAACAAACGCAAAAGTCCACCGTTCCTAATGAGAGATCGTCCAATTTACTACCATGCCTTATTTCGGCCTTTACAAAATAACTTTGAAATTATAAGTGTGAAGCCTAATGTCGAGGTACCGGAAAAATTGTTCGCCGTAATACTTTGGTTTTTAAATATCTTATAAGGATTCCTAAACTGCTATCTCAAAACACTAAACTCCACACAAACTAGATTGTTTATGCCTTTTTGATCATATAAGTGCTTTCATCCTCCTCTCCCCAAACTGTCATACAAAAGGCGTCAAGTGAAAGTAATGTATTTTGACAACCCTTATTTATTGGCAAAACACAAACATTTATTATCAAAAAGATGAGAAAAGAAATCAGAAGTTTCTGAAAGACACAATACAAAGAACAAAACGAAAGTAGCTAGATTTTATATCCTAGCTATCACAGATACGTGGGAAAAATACAGAAGAACCAAATGAACAGAAGCACGGGGAAGTTAACATCCTAAAAAATCCAAGTATTCAGAGTAATTTTCAACTGATAGCAATGTATTTTGATAATTTTTAAAAGGCAGATGAAGGCGGGAATCAAATCACAGTTACCAAATACTCAATAGCGAAAATCGAAACAGCTAGGCAGGAAACTTATGTCTGAAATTCGACTCCGATAAGAAATTTTTGAATGAATTCACACCATTTATCTCGTTGTTAGTAGTAGTACTATGATTATTTGAAGGGGGATAAGATGAATACAAGATAGTAGCAACAACCACTAGGATAGCACCAACATAAAATAAAATTGTCGGATTAAAATCAAACCAGAATATTGATAAAATAAAAGTAAGCACTATAGCCAGTGACGTGGCAAATCCTTTGCGTATATTATCGGCATACCGAATAGTTGCGGCGATTAGCAAACCACCTAATGATTGAATTAATATTGCTGCCCATACAACAGAGTCGTAACCAAAGAAAAACCCTTTCCTAGCAACCTCTTTACCATCTTTCAAATAGACAGTTAGGATACCGGCTGTAACACCGTAGAATGCCAACTGTATATTACGTATAGCTACACTTTTATGACTACCCTTTAATAATTTCTCAAAGAAAACACCAGCAAAACCAGAACAACTACAAGCCAATACAACAGAAGAAAGACCGACAAATAGATTACTATTTTCTGCAACATTTTTCGTTTTTTCAGTACTAGAATTAACTACATCACTCAGTTGTGTTAATACAACACCGGTGAACAGAACACCTAGGGAGCACCACTGTATCCGACTTAAATGTTTCGATAAGATTATTCTAAAGAAGATTGCTGTTGTGAAAATCTTTAATTGATATGATATCTAAAAGAAAACAATGGAAGCCATGCACGAAAAACAATAACAAGGGCGATAGGATTCGACAGATATAGAAATCTTACAGAATAAATACAACTAATAACTTAATGTCGACTGAAAAATGACTGCAACTCACCAACCAAAATATAGATTTATACATTCATGTCAACGATACACAAGCCAAATCTTTTGTATATTCTATCCCGGGGTTTAAGTTCCCACACTATTTTAAGAATCTTGTGTACGTAATTCATCAGTTGGTCTTTAGTCTTAAAAAAAGACGTTTGTTTTCTACTTATATCCTTTTGGGAAAACTTTTGTTTGTATCTAACTTGTCAGAGGTGGACTTCCTAGATAGAGACCCTCATCAAACTTAGTTACACTGATGATAAAGTGCTTGGCTAGTGAAGATACTAGTAAAATAGCCTTCGAAACATGCATTTTCTACTTCAGATATGAAACGTTGCAGCAAAGTTGGCTTAACCCATTGTCTAGTCTGATTATCCCAAGTGAAGTGGTATCGAGTCTCAACCATCAAAAATTCTGAAGATTTTAACGAACCAGGTGAGCTGTTTGACTAACAAAATCTCCCTATGGAAACGAAAGAACATCTTGGCTACGTCCAACCTTTTAGTATGATCATTTGACTGCAATTCTTAGACACTGAAGTGTGATTTCTGAAGAGACCATTAAAGGATGCTAAGGCTAAATACATAAAACTGGGTGAAAACGCTGAATGGGTTGGGAGGGCTATAAACATTTAGGCCCTGGGGTGTAAAAAAAATTCATCTCCAACCACTACTAACCTCGGTATCCTATGTTGAAAAGCATAAGATTAGGTCAAAGCTTTAGTAATGATGAAAATAAAGTGTTATATATGATAGTCAGCACATCGATCAAAAGTAGGGAATGTTTTGACAGACCTAATAAACCCCCAAATGCCCTGGTTCGATCGAGAGTGGGTAGAGTCCGCTCCCATTCTCGATATGCTCTCACACGGCCACGTATATACAACCACTGACAGGGAAGTCCTATTCATTGCCTTCTTGCAGCACTACTGTTGTTTACGAAATTGAAAGGACGAAAAGCGAATGTTCGGCGCTGGAACCAAGTTGGTGGGCACAGAGGGTATATCTAAGGGAGTCGGGAAATCGTGATTCCAAACCAATGGTACACATGGGCTCCAGTATCCTGAAGGAACAAACGGTGTATGAACCAATCGTTGGTCACCGGCTACCATAGGACTGCATCTCCTGAAGTTGCTCCACTGCCTTGTGAGTTAGGCCTTTAAGGCCAAAGGCTCCGGGTGTGACACCCTAAGAAAACCACCTGCTTCGGCTTGGGCACGCGAGCAGTAACCCAGCCCTCACACAAATCAAATGAGATTTGTGTAGCGCATACATATCTGGTGCCTCCTTGTGCCAATACTTGTGTTTAAATAATAAACCCTTTAGATGCCCCACACAGTGGAGGTATAGAGATACAATGGATCACTGTTTCTCATGAGCAAAGACAACTTAGACAAGCTGACAAATAGTTTGCGCAATGATCATGAGCAGTGGTGGCCAGCCAAGACAAAAAACGATGAAACATGTGGCGACGATAGACGACAGCAGACAACTTTTCAGACACTACAGAAACAGGTATTTAATAGTCGGGTTAGTAAGTCTGCTTCTGAAAATGATGAAACAATAATCTACCTTGAACCCAGGGAACTGAAACGATGGATAGAATACTTAGAACAGTTTAACTTCTCTCCGGCTACTCCTCGAGTGCTCAGTTTTATCAAACAATTCCTCCTGACCCAACTCTTAAAGAGATAGAAAAACGCATAGCATGCTTGAAGTGACAGAGCAATGGCTCCTGATAGATTAGCTTTTGGAGACTTTGCTTAGGGACTATGTTTATTCTAACCTAACAACTAGACGACTAGTATGCTATGAAGCAGTCCGCTCTGCTCGACTTCATGGATGTGAAACATGCCTTTTAAAAATAGAGGATGTTCCTAGGTTACTAGTATTCCATCATGTGTCTTCGAGCCATTCCTCGTGTATTTTGAAACCAACGAGTGAGCAGTATTGATGTTAGGCTTAGAATAATAGGTAAAGATGACAAACTGGTTAGTGAAGTGATAAGTATTCACCAACTTAAGTGACTGGAACATGTGTCACGTACTCCCACCCACCGTCTGTTTTGACCAGTGATGTCGTTCAGCGAATGGGTACGTTGTTAGAAACCTAGGGACAGCCTATTTCAAAAAAATAGCCCCCAAATGCCCTGGTACGGCCGAGAGTGGGGAGAGTCACCTCTCCCTCTCGAAATACTCTCATATGGCCAGCGAGTATATAGCCTCTGCCAGGGAAGTCCTACTCACTGCCTTCTCGCAACACGGGTGTTGTTTACGAAAGTGAGAGGACGAAAAGCGGATGTCCGGCGCTTTAACCGGGTTGGTGGACACGGAGGGTCCACCTAGGGGAGTTGGAAAACCCTGATTCCAAATCAATGGTGCACATGGGCTCCAGTATCCTGATGGAGCGAATGGCGGACGAACCTGTCATTGGTCAACGGCTACCAAGGGACTGCATCTCCTCACGATACTCCACTGCCTTGTGGATCAGACATTCAGGTCAAAGGCTCCGGGTGTGGCCCCCTAAGAAAACCACCTGCTTCAGTCTGGGCACCTGGACAGTATCACAGCCCTCACACAAATCGAATGAGATTTGTGAGGCGCATATTTATCTTGTGCTTCATTGTACCAATATTTATGTGTTTAAATAAATAAATAAAAATAAAGGGGCAGCCAAACAAGAACATTGCATTAGTTCATCAAGAAAATGACTATTGGACTCAGACATGTTAACAGGTGTAGACATACTAGTTCCCTTCTGCATAATTGTTGTAACCAATGGTTAGAAACTTGAATGACACGGCTCAAAATTGTTCGCAATGATCCAAGCGCATCAACAGCTTGTCTCCCCTTACATCCCGGATTTTTAAATCCTTCATAATTTTTTAAATCATTTCACTAATTTATATCTCCTCGAACCGTATCTTCGACACTGATCTTTCCTACTACTACCAATACCGTTACTACGTCTACTACCCTAAGATTCGCTGGCTTCAGACCTGGTCGTGGCTGTATCAACCACATATTCACCACTAGTCAAGTTTTAGAGCACAGACATGCTTATCGGCGTACGAAAATGACAGTTTTTCTTGACTTGAAAACAGCATTTGACTCTGTAGACCGAGAGGTTCTGTGGCAGTCTCTGTCATTGAAAAGTGTACCTCAAAAGTACATAAACCTTGTGAAAGCTCTTTACTCGAACACTACCAATCGAGTGAGAGCTTATGGCGAACTGTCATATGATTTTACAACCTCAAGTGATGTCCGTCAAGGCTGTCCACTATCCCCATTTTTGTTTAACTTCATTATAGACCTATTGCTCGTCGACTGAATTTTCAGGAATCGTTCTTCTACCAGGAGGTTCACTTATCGACTTAGAATACGCAGATGACATAGTCCTATTTGGTGAAGACACTGACAAAATGCAGAGTCTTCTGTTAGAATTGTGTAATACTACTAGGATGTTCGGGATGCGTTGCTCCCCCTCTAAATGTAAATTGTTACTCCAGGACTGGCCTGCGTCAACACCTGAACTAACAATAGGGAGTGAAGTAGTCGAACGCGTCGACAACTTCACTTATCTTGGAAGTCTGATCAGCCCTAATAGGTTGGTGTCTGACGAAATATCAGCACGGATTCAAAAAGCTCGTTGGGCTTTTGACAACTTACGTCACCTATGGCGAAGACGAGATATCCGTCTATCAATTAAGGGACGAGTATACTGCGCAGCAGTTCGTTTTGTTTTACTCTATGGCTGCGAAACATGGCCATTAAGAGTAGAAGATACTCGTAGGTTACTAGTATTTGACCACAGATGCCTTAGAAATATTGCTCAAATCTGCTGGGATAACCGGGTAAGTAATAGTGAAGATAGACGCAGGGTATTAGGAAATGATGGCAAATCAGTTGATGAGGTCATGAATCTTCATCGACTGAGATGGTTGGGCCACGTGTTACGTATGCCTGAACACCGATTACCACGACACGCTATGATGACTAGTGTAGGGGATGGTTGGAAGAGAGTTAGGTTAGGCCAAACCAAAACGTGGCATCAGAGCATGAAGTCACTAACTTCTAGTCTGAGCCATGTTGGTAGATGCAAACTACCTGGTTGGGGTCCGCGTGACTATCGTAACCAATGGTTGGAGACTCTGGGTGACATGGCTCAGAATCGATCACAATGGCGTAGGTGTATACACTCTTTATCTTCCCTTAAACCTTCAGATTAAAATTGCTTCATATCTATCTATTTTCCTATACTATATCCTTCTATACAACCTTTCTTTATATACTACCACCACTAAATTAATTACTTCTATGAATCCGGTGTTCATCTTGTTGTGCTAACGAGGTATGGCAACTTGGACCGATGCATATATGTGCCTGGTCCTACGTTGTCGCTGACTGACCCTAAGATTCTGAGAATCTGACCTCGCTATACCAACTGGCTATCATAACTTGAATCGATGTACATATATACCAGGCTCTACGCTGCCATGAATGGATGATACATTGTTAGTCTTCTATATCAGTGCACAAAATCTAACCTTCATTATAAAGATCTGAAGTTGAAGCTTCAACTGTTGTTAATTTCTTGGTTGTCTTACGTACTAATCACTACTTACTTCTTAGATCATTAGCAGAATATGGACGTAAGATATATCCTGATCTTATTTTCTGTTGACAAATTCATATGAAACAGAAATAGCGCATAAATTAAACCCCGAAGCCTAACTACAGAACAGAAACCTTGAAATAACTATATCAACATGGAAATACGAGAAAACTAGATGAATTTCTTAACAAATTAGTGATAGTCACTAAATAGTTCGCAAGATGACTAACCTGAAAGGAAACAGCATCTAAATTTGAATAACCAACAAATAGCAAGTTGTTTTGAATTGTGTAGATCATTCCAGGGACGGACACCAAAAGACAATCCTTCGGATCTTTCAATATATTCTCCCTTAAACTGTGTATAAAAGAGACGAAAGAACATTTCTCTTCGAACAAAACTAGTAGAAAACAAACTAGAAGTTTCACTAATTCACTCATCACCACTGCTGTTGTAGGAAAATACAAATTTCCTTCTCTAGCACGAGAATATCGAGTCACAAGGACAACAGCGGCATTCTGCACAACTAAAGATAATAAAGCAATACGTCCAAGAAACAAATCACCTATGACAATCAACAAGCGTGTAAAATGCACATCTTACTCTGCAGGATTTTAAATCTATCTATCCACGAAACCATTTGACTACGAGATAGACAAAAACAATCGAAATATTCCACCTGAACGTCCAATAACCTGCAATAAAATCAAAGCTAGAAAGTTTATGTACATGTTCACGAACGATAAGAAACAGTCATATTTTGCTAAACAACTAGGTTAAGGCTCGTAATTAGGTTTGAGCCACACTGTAGGCATTAGGACAAGTGATTACACGAGGATGTCCAAACAGAAGTAAGCGAACCAAGGCTCGAACCTGCACCTAAGCGGTTGAAAGTCACAATACACTATCTTTAGAACACGTAATATTACGATTAAAACTTAAGTAGGTGTCGACCGCTTGGATGAAATACTTTGGAATTCCACGGTAATCGTACGGCTCGAAGGAAAATGTGCAACATAATAATGGGTTGAGAGTTAGCGCTTCTAAATCAGGGCATACAACCCATGGATTGGGCAAGCAAAAAAAAGAGGGAAAATCTTGCGAGAAACTCTTAAGAGGAGCTATTACAAAAATAGCCGACAATGTATTAAGGTGTCATCTTTTTCCCTAATCTAAGATAAATGGCGCGTACTTTTTTCCAGAATCCCTCCTTTGAAGGGAAATGTTTCGAAATTAACGCTCCTACTACCCATAGGATGTCTACTCATCATTAACACCGATTCTTCTATTTTTCTCGAAAATTATCACCAACATATCAGTTTTCCTTTAATACTAACACTGACGTGTCTCTTTTTCTCCAAAATTTACACCCAATTAACTTAATTTTTTCAGTAATTAACAAGTGAAGTTAATTTTTAGCAAAGCTCAACGTACTTATATACCGCATGTTTCAGAAGTTCACCTTTAACAGTTAGCTATCATGTCGTTTTGTACTATACCTTAGTAAAACGTTTTAGATGCCATTAAGAACAAAACTGCGCAGTCTTGCGCAAACCTGGCGTAAACACACTTGACGTGGAATTTAATTTTGTTGTCCTTTCCCCTAGATTTAAACAAACGTTATGATGTAATCCACCAGAAATTTACGATAACATTTGAAGCAGCCAAAAGAAAAGAAATTTTAAGTCAGGTCCTTGACATAATAAGAGTAAATGTTTATTTTGGATGGAATTCTCCTTCGATATTAAAAAATCACTGTAGAATTTATCTGAACAATGAAAAAAGTTCAAGTCGTTATCATTAGCACTCCTGTTGAATACAACTTATGCTCTCCTTGGTCATCTTATAGGCAGTACTCACTTTCTGTCATCTTGTAAAGATCTATTGGTCTGGAAGCTCACAAAGTGATGTCGACTGTGCGAAATATAAGTTCTACGAAATTCAACTACCCCTAGCCACTCCAATCCAAATAATTCAATTCCTTTCCTGAGTCAAACTTGATACTTGCAACTAATTTGTGTGCACCATCAACCGATGAGTACAAGTATAAATCATTGGTCCACTGAAGAGAGGTGATAGGTCAAAGAACTTTCGACAAAAGCCTATTCAAACAACTTTTTATATGCAAACTCCCGCGACAGGTGCAAGCAGTTCTGGTCTCACTTCAAAACAACGCCGTAGACAAACTGGCCGCATCTGCTGACTGCATCTTAGAAATCACGAAATCTACTAATACCGAGTTTTTTCAGTCAAAGAAAAACCTTAGACGACCCAGAATGGCATCACAGAACTATGTCATGCACTGACACGCTATCTTCAATTTCTTAATGACCGTAGACGGTCACAAACCTCGCGAGGAAGCGTTTCACGTAGGCGATCTGTCTCTAGCCCACGAGAAACGGATAAGCTCGACTGGTCCTGGTATCATAACCAGTATGGGCAGTCTTCTAGAAACTGCAGGAAACCCTGCAATTATCCGACCTCAAAATCGAATGACACGAAAAACAATTCGGGAAACTTTCCAGCCGGCACGCGTTAACGGCGACCGTAGCCGGCGAACATAACCGTCTGTTTTACGTCACGGATGTGACAACGACAGTTCGCTACCTTGTCGACACTGGAGCAGAAGTTAGTGTTCTTCCTGCGAATTCTAACGACAGGCATCATGAGTCTGTTTTAAGCTTACAGACGGCAAACGGAAAAACGATCGCCGCATATGGGAAAAGGTACGTCTACCTTAACGTGGGTTTACGAAAACCCATCCACTGGAATTTCGTGGTCGCAGATGTTTCTATACCACTGATTGGTATAGACCTGCTACAATACCATAATCTACTCATCGACCCACGCAAACGAAGGTTATAGACGGAAACACTAAGTTATCTGTTTGTGTAATTCCTCTTTCTGGTTGCATATTATCGCAAGTCACAATTAAGTACACCATAGACCTGTAGTGACCGGCCAGTCTCGATAAGAACACGATTGGAATAATAGAAACAATTATTATTATTGTAACCAATTGTACCAGAGATTGTTTTACTGTATTTGTTTAACTGTATCAGTTTCACTTCTGCTTTCGCTCTCCGCCTTGTTTGGTTCGAACTTGCTCACGCACTGCCTGTTCGCCTGTACTCTTTGGCACGTCTCGGTATTATTTCGATACCACGAGATCGCCAATAAATACAATTGATCTGGACTTGTAAAGCCTTCTGATTTACGGGCTATCAAGGGAACCAAGTCATATTTGTACGCGTAATCGAATAATAGTGGTGATCATAGTCCGTCCACGACTCGACATCCACTACAGACCCATCATATCAATCACCCATTAGTACACATTAGTATCGCCGTAGACGCATCCGAGTCAGCAATCAGAGTATTACAACAATGGGTTAATCACTCCTGTCAACCTTTAGGATTTTCCTCGAGACGGTTGCTAGACACTGAATCGAGGTACAGCACTTCAGTTAGGGAACTCCTATCTATGTATTGTGCTGTACGGCATTTCCAACATTCCATCGAAGGAAGAGAATTCACACTTTTTACCGATCACAGACCCCTTAATTCCTCTTTAAGCTCATCTTCAGACAAGTACTCTCCTCGAGAGTCTCGACAACTCGACTACATTTCTCAGTTTACTTCAGATATACAACATAGTTTTGGAGAAAACAATCAAGTTGCAGACGACTTGTCTCGTATAACTTCCTTGAACAGTTTCCAAGGAATCGACCTTCTTAAACTCGCTCAGCTTCAAAAAGAAAACTTTGATCTTCAGCACGAGCTATCCTCGACAACTCTAAAACTGCGTATCAAACAGATGGGAACAGGTAAGGAAACCTTACCTTGTGACACATCTACAGATAGGGATCGTCCAATCGTGCAGAAAAATTATCGACGCAACGTCTTCAATACATTACACAATCTTTCCCATCCAGCTGTGCGCGCATCCATCAAGCTTAAAGGTCATTAGATACAACAAATTTCCCTTAGGCTCTTTCAAAACCCCTGATGCTCGTTTCAACCATGTTCATCTGGATTTGGTGAGACCCTTACCAGATTTAAATGGCGACTCATATCTCTTAACCTGAGTAGACCGTTGCACTCGATGGCCTGAAGCAGTACCTATTAAAAACATTACCCTTGAAACGGTGGCCCGCGCCTTCGTCGAACGATGGGTAGCAAATTTTGGCTGACCTTCAACGATCGCTACAGACCGCGGACGCAAGTTGGAATCTGGACATTTCCGTTGTCTGACCACATTATTAGGAATCACGCGCTTCCGAACGACCGCCTACAACCCACAAGCTAACGGGTTGGTAGAACTTTTCCACTAACAACTAAAAGATTCGCTATAAGCGAAAAACGTTCCACAGTGGACAGACGCTCTTCTACTCGTCTTACTAGGTATCCGCAATGCAGTGAACGCTGACATTGGATACACTGCAGCTCAACTCGTTTATGGACCAACAGACCGACTTCCAGGAGAATTCACGGATCCTTCGAATTCTTCACTGAACACGGATCTAAACTCTTACACGAGCAGGCTTACAAACGCAATGGGTTCAGTCAAACCTGCTTATACTCAACCGCAATCAACTGATGTTTTCATTCAACCTGACTTACAAAATAGTACACATGTCTACGTTCGTCCAGACTCGCCTCGACGACCTCTCGAATCAGCATACGAAGGACACTTCAAAGTTCCTTAGCGTGAACCTAAGTACTATGTAGTCGATAAGAATGGCACTAACGATAGCATCAGCATCGATCGCCTAAAAGCAGCGTACTTGGAAAGAAATCCTATCTACGTCGATTTTCCTTCGGTACAATCGAACGATACGGCTCCTACACTTGTAGTACACCATACGACAGCCGACACGCACATTGATACTCCATCAGCGTCTGAAAATAAACTTAAGACAACGCGTTCCGGAAGAAGAGTAAGATTTCCGGAACATTTAAACGACTATTGCACGTAAGACACAAGCTTTATCCCGATTTTCCTTTGCATTATATATTACAAAAACATTTAATATGCTTGTTTTTATAAATTTTTTCCAAAAAAATTTCTAACCAAAAAGCGTATATTTTGATAAAAAAACAAAACAGAAAGAACAATTTCTCCAATCGCTTTTACGCTGTCGCAAATGTATTAGTTTTTGTTTTTTCCGCTCATCTTGTGTCCTTACGCAAGTACGAATGCATTTTCGACATGCACTCACACGTCCTATTTTTTCTCTTTTCCAGGACGGCTGGAAAAGAACGACGAAGCTTCACAAGGAATCGGAATTTTCATTGTACTTTGTTTCCTTATTACTATGTTGTACATTATGGTCTCTTAGTGTAAGGAAAGATGACCAGACGTTGCTAAACATAACAAGCTATTAGAAGAGTGTTTACCAACGACAAACTCGTTGGGTTTAAACTTCTGGCTGGTCACGTCTTAGGGTCATCACTACCTCACTAAGTGGGGGTGATCTGTAGCTGTAGATAATTTCACAAAATCAATAGCTCATTAAGTGTTCGACATTGGATACCGACCACATTGTTTTAAGTGGACTTGTTTAACTGAAGGCTTTCGGTCATGCATCCGTACCAGATCACGTTACGAACCAGCGTGGGACACAGCTCCTACGATCATTAGCCAGACTAGAGCAAACGCTTCTTGATATATTGATAGCGCATCAAATATATCTTCCAACCTCCTCGCTTCTGACTTCTGATTTGAACTGGGTGGGCGCGATTCGATTACAGAAGGTGTTACTGGTAAAGCGTTGCCAAACTACAATACTGGTGGTATCTTCAAGGTGATCAACACTCAGAGGATTCTTATTAATCTTTTGGTAAACTCGGGAGAACAACAGCTCCACTTACCTTTACGTTGAATTAACATCTTATTGATTCTGGTAAAAGAGTAGTGTAGTGTTATTGTTTCTTAACGACGCGACCGTCGAAGCCAAATATTCAATAACTGAGAAGATACATGTTTAACATTTAACGCTTAGAGGTCAGAAATTGAAAACGTGGAAAAACTTAATGGTTGTAGCATGGCTCAGTCATGCAAAGGTGGTCACCAATGTGTAACCTGTCGCCTTTATATCAAATATATTACTCTCCCCAACTCAAGTATATTCTTCTGAAGTTCTTTGCCTCAACTGCTTACTGCCACGTTAGAACGAGACAGCATCGATACTTATGCGTCTTCCAGGTAAGGCCTGGTAGATTAGATAACCGCATAACAGTATTTACAGTTATGGCTTAGGTTTATTGTTTTGGTACAATAGTTAAGTGTGATAACACTGACGAGGGCCGTAACTCTAGGTTGGCTAAACCAGCAAAAGAGACTCAGCCTGTTAATTACTCTCATGTTCCATTAATCTTGATTGGTTGATTTTTATTCATGTTAACTGATTATTGTAATAGTCCGTTTATCATTACCCACTTGCACTATTTAGCAAAGCTGATTATTGAAAATCAGCTTATTAGCCGGAACGATACTAATATGTGATGAACTACACTTATGAATAGATACAATGATCCATTAACAAAATTTATAAGCAAATAAATTCTTCAATAAAATGGGTTCGTTAAGACATAAAGCACTATACAATTATGGTCTACTTTGTTTTTAGTACTACTCTAATGAT